CGCCGGGCGCCACCAGCAAACCTGCTTCGTTGGGGCAGCTGCGGCACTGGGTACTTGCGCTGGCCCGCTGCTCCAGCTCCCCACCATCTCTGCCCCATGCCCCGCCTCCTCCAGCGCCTTGCATGCTGCCCAGCCCACCACCGCCTCACGGCCTACCAGCCGATCACCACCCCCCAACGGCCCTCACAATCCCCCAGCCCACCACCACCACCCCGCGCCCCTCACCCCTTCTTGCTCATCTCGTAGGCCCAGAACTCGATGGCATCAAAGGGCAGGTCGCGCAGCAGGAAGGAGCCGTAGCCGGCAAAGATGCCGCGCCGCCCCTCCCGCGCCAGGATCGTGCGCAGCGCGGTGAAGGCGTGGGTGAACTCGCCTGCGGGGGCGGCAGCCAGGGGGGGCGGGGGCAGGGGGTAAGGCAGCGGGCGGGTGGGGGTTGTGGCAGGCGGGGCTGAACACGCGGCGCAGGCGGCGGCGGGCGCTGGGCCTGGGGGTTCGCAGCGGGGAACCAGCCCAGCGCTGCCCTGCCCCAGCCCAGCGCTGTGCCCCCGCGCCTGCCCCGTCGTACCGCGCAGCCGGCGCCTGCGCCAGCACGCCGCCCCCCGCACCTGTCTGCATCCGCGTCTTCACAACCTCTGTGGGCACCCGCACCAGGGAGGAGGCCAGGCCCGCAGCCACGCCGCCCGCCAGCGGCCCCAGGTACGACTGCTGCTCGCCCACCCGCCTCATCACGGCCTGCAGCCAGGCGGCGGTAGGCGGCAGGTGGGCGGTCGCAAGCGGCAAGCCAAGCCACGCATCGCCTCAGCGCCACGGCGGCCTGCGGGGCTGGCCAGGCGGCTGCCAGGGAATTCTACACCCTGCCACCTTTGGCCGCTCCCCTGCACACACACCCAATCGCCCCACCAGCGCTGCCCCGTTGCACCCTGCCCGCCCAAATCCCCCCCACACACCACACCCCCAGCAGCAGCGCGGCGCGCCCCACCTGCTTCACCGGCTCGTACACGGCCATGAAGATGGCTGAGGAGGGGGCCACCCCCACCAGGTTGCCCCACACGCCGGCGTACAGGG